ATTTCTCAACGGCAAAAAACCGGCGCATAACTATGCAAATGAATTTGAATTTGCTACCACGTAAACTCACTTCTATCTCGAACGCACGTTTTATTTACTTTCGTAGGAGATATATGTCGTAGTGATGCGGCTTGCAGAATTTAATTTCGAAGGTTGATAGACACGGTACTTAATCCTCAAGCATTTAAATATGATTTAGTGACAGCTATTGGCAATTATTTTAAATACAATTATTTATATAAACATGTGGTTTTGAAGGTTTTTTAGTCTTAATAGTATTACTGGATCACGTTAATATGTCTCAAGTGTAAACTGTGACATCCTTTCTCTATATGTATTTAATACACTTTGTCGTATTAAAAATTGTAATTATTCAAGTTCTAATAACTCGAAAGAGATAACCAGATGTGAAGTCGATTTCAAAATGTCTATAACAAGTTTGATAACAATAGTAGTGGTGTAACTAAACCACAATCAAGGCCGCTATCCTCACGCTGTTGCCCGTGGGGGGTGAACTGTCATACGGTTTATTAACCCAGTAACATTCGATCCGGTTTAACAATAGATTAAAACAATAGGTTTTTAGATCACCCAGATATCAGAATTTCACTCGAATTAATCAATCGATTTGTTTCAAGTGACATGTCCTCTTGTGACATATTTATGACGGTCATTTCGTGGACTTGTTTTTTTTATAATATAAGTTTGCAAACGAGCAAGCGGCCACCTGAATCCACCGAAATGGAAAGCGACCGCTGCCCACAAACATCTGCAATTGCAGATGCGTTGCCTACCCTTAATTAACGGAGGAGGAAACGCACATAAAGATGACATTTCCCCTTCCTATGCGTTTCCTTCACCTTCAAATTCACTTTTTGTTCCCAACATTTCCACTTAAGAAAAGGATTGAAAGGGAAAGGCATTAAAATTTGGCCTCCGGCACCACACTCATCAGACGAAACGCGGAATTGCTTCCACTTCACGCCTGTTTTCTGTGTGGTCGTGGTATTACAGGCGGGCCGGCCCATTCGTGCAAAGATGTTAAAGCGGGCTATACCACTGTTAAAACTGTTGTTCCTTGACTATCTTAATTCTAAGTAATTTGTATGAAAACTTTCAAATTAGTTTCGAATTTCTTTAAATGTATGGACAAAGTTTAGATAATATAATACGGAAAATTGTAACGCGACTTTAACTAACGGCTACAATATATTCACGTAGAAATGCATATAAAATTAATGTAAGATACTTACTTTGGGCCTTAACAAAATGTAGTGCTTCAAACACAATAATATGATGAAAAACCATGTTGGCGTCCATAGTATCAGCGGATTTATCTAAACAGTGTAATACAGTATTTTGTTTAAAACCATCATCTTGTTAATGTCATACATCTCTATCAGCCGTCATATCTGAATTTATTCCTTAAGCATTTCATTCAAACAATTCTTCCACACTTTCTTCATCTTTATTAAAATACTAGCTTTCGCCCGCGACCCCGTCCGCGCGGAATAAAAACAAAATTAAGTAACCTATGTGTTCTTCCAGACTATACTCTACGTCCATGCCGAATTTCATCGAGATCCGTTCAGCAGTTTAGGCTACAAACTAACAAACATCCATCCATCTAAACTTTCGCATTTATATTAGTAAGATTGCCATGATATTAAACATTTTTTCTGTAAAATTCCAAGCTAAATTCTTTTAATACAGGATTCTTATTACGGGCCAGTATGTGTAATCTGTGCGTAGACGCTAAGGTCTTGTATGCTTTGAGTTTGAGAATTTACAAGCCTGTTTATGTGGGTGGATAACTGTAATGTTGTTTAATTGAATACGCCGCATTATAATCATTTGTCATGGGTATTTTTATAGATATACTAGTTTTGCCCGCGACTTCGGAATGAAAAAACTAACTTGGCTATAACTTCCAAACTATGCTCCATATCTGTCCCTAATTCTATCGAGATAGCTGTTTTAGAGGTAAGCCGAAAAAAACTTCCATCAAAACTTTCGTTAAGTTAACTCGATTGTAAGTTAAGATCTTGTTTCCTTTAGTTACTTATAACTTATGAAATATGTTCTAAATTGTTTGTGTTTTGTTCTTATGTGTTTTAAAACAGAATTTAAATATCCTCACACTCAGGAATAATCTAACATTATAATATTGAAAGAATTTTTAAAAACTGTCCAGTAGTTTTTGAGTTCACACGTAACAAACATATAAATACAAATCTATCCCTTTAAGTATTAATATACGATATACAAGTAAACTATAAAAGGCGTAGTTCACAAAATATCAAGACAATTAAGTTTTGTACTTATTCATTCAACTTAATATGACTTGTATTAAGTTTTTTCTCACTTAATGTCACTCAAAGTATACAATATTGATTATAAATCACTGCAGTGACACCTAAAATCAGATCAAGCAGCTTGTCTCATAATTAACATTGGACTAAAGTAACTAGATGTGTCTTTAGTAATTCTTGATTACTTATTATCGAACTAGCTTTTGCTCGCGTTTCCGTCCGCGTGGAATTGAAAAAAACATAAGTGAATAGCCTTTATGTTCTCCCAGACTACCTTCAATATTTATGCTAAATTTCATCGAAATCCATTCAGGCGTTTACGTCATAAACTCTAACAAACGTCCATCCATCGATCCATCCATCCATCCATCCATCTTTCTATATTTTATTCAAGTTTCATCTGATAGCATAATCAATAAAAAACTGATTTAACATTGTAAGATCGATCACAGTATTAATTGTCCCAAATAAAATGTCAATAATCTAATGGGTAAGGGTACAAAATTACGATCACGTGTTTGAGAGTTCGAATTCCACCATTCCACTATTGTAAACCATATTCTAGCACGAACTTAGAGTTTAGTGGGAATAGTACAACAAATATTAAATAAAAAAAAAACAAGTAAAAATAGAAAAAACAAACCTGTGACTTATATTACTTATTTAACGAATAACTGGGCGAAATAAAATTTAATAACAATACACGATTAACACTTCAATAATACACAAGCCTCAATTTATCCAATTTAAATTAACATGCAATTTGTAACAGACGTGCAAACAATGGCTCACAGAGCAGATATTTTCCATAATAAGAGCCCTTGTCACTTCCAGTACACTAATACATTAGATAATTACGATTGTATATAATTTGGATGTCGGTCAATACGACCACGTTATAAACTAGGCTACATTCACTTTCGGCGTATATTATAAACTCCAGGGGCCTATCCTAAAAAAAACTTATGCAGCATAGCTGAAGATTTCATTTATTCTATCGTTACCGTGTTAGTAGTGTTAGGTTTAAGTTTCAATGGACTAAAACTCGAGTTACGTTTAGAAACGTATTTTATTGAGTTATCAAACCAGACATCATTGACCTCCACGCCTTAAAGAACACCGTCAAATCTCATACATATTTTGTCGATAAAGTTACGAGTATATCTCGCAAATTTTCATGGTAGGACCCGTAGTTTTGTACTTCAGATCTATCTTCATCATTCGTTGTCAGTTCTTTTTATTTTATTTATTTAAACACTAGCTGTTTCCATGCGGCTAACAACATGAAAAAAAACTTTATTTTGTCAAATTCTTAATTACAAATGTCAAAATTACTATTACCATACTATAACTTTGCTTCCTTAATGTTGGCAGCTTGTTTATGTTCCATTCCCACATGAACATTTTTTCCAATTCATTTAGCACCTAAGTTTAATAGCGTGAAAATATAAAGCCTAAAGCGTGTCGTAAGTGTAGAGGTTTTTATTAAAGAAAGAATTATTTACAAACATGCTGTGATTCCCGACATCCTTCGCCACGAAGTAGTGTGTGTTTACTCTTTATTATATTAGAATAGATTTGCTCTTTTGTTTTTATTTGAATCTGTGAATCAAAATTACGTAATTAAATTCAGTCGAAATCTAAGTGCGATTGTTATATTATAACAAAGCGTTATAATTGTAACAATAAGTTATGCAAAAATAATAGCTACTGCGCAACTTATTAAGTTATTATAGTAATTAAGTTACGACATGAATGTAACAGCATTTCTTATAAAGCCTTCATGTTAGTTGACCACAATTTAGTACGTCTCGCTTAATCTAATAATATCTCTACGCTTATACGACGGACGAGGAGACGCACATAAAAAGGATATTTCCCCTTCCTATGCGTCTCCTTCACTGTCAAATCCACTTCCTCTTCCCAACCTCTCATAAGAAAAGGGTGGTAAAGAGAAAGGGACTTAAATTAGGCCTCCGGCACCACGCTCATCAGACTGTACACGGAATTGCTTCCATTTCACGCCTGTCTTCTGTGTGGTCGTGGTATTGCACCGGGCGTGCCGGCCCTGCAGTGCTAAGATGTTAAAGCGGGCACTACCACTGTAAATATACGATTTATTATATTTACAGTGGTAGTGCCCTATATTATAACTACATGTTATTATTAATAGTAGTTAGTATATCTTACTAATATTACTTCTTACTATCTTACTTCTTACTAATATTATAAATGCGAAAGTTTAGATGGATGGATAGATGGATATTTGTTAGACTTTGTAGCCTGAACGACTAAACACATCTCGGTGAAACTTGGCATAGACGTAAAGGATACTCTGGAAGAACACATAGGCTACTCACTTGTTATTTTTTTCAATTCGACGCGGACGGAGTCGCGTTTGAAAGCTAGTTAATATATAATTGTATAAATTATTAAAGCGCATACCTTTAACTAAAGTATCGCACAACTGTTTACTCTCGCTTTGATTCTATGAGCTTATGAGGTACACAACTGAATTTGTAGTTGTGCTACTAAACAGTTGAATTATCTGCGAGACAATCGCACAATAGTTGTGCGATAGTTTATTCAAAGGTGCGCACGCTCCTAATAATAACTGACAGACATTCCATATTAAAAAAATCAATATAAGATGATTTTTATTGACTAATGATTTTTCTTTTGTTTCAGAACGCGTCCCTTACGAGTAAGGTATGTTTTGACTGTTTTTTCTTATCCATTTTTAGTCACGTCTTGACAATCGGAATACTTTCAAATCAAGAAGCGCTGGACTGGGGTAGTTAAGAACGCCAGTTCACATGTGGCTTATTTTTTTTAAATATTAACATTTTTAAGCTGCCTGTGAATTTGTTGTTGACAGAGATTTATTAAATGTTTTCCATTCTTTAATTAGCGGGGGAACCTAACGTGATTGTCATCTCTTATATCTTCAATAAGAAAAACAGAGATAGCAAGTGTTCAAATGTCACGCATTTTGAAATTGTTACAAGATACAGTGTGAATTTAGGGCATTATACATGGCGATGTTCACAGTTTATAAGGCTACGTGCATACTTACTTTGGATCTAACGTTCTTTTTGCCTATCGCCATTTCATAACTAAGGGTGCGTTCACATTGGCATTGATGATGTACTTTGGAGTAGTTTTAGGAAATGAATAGTTAGATGAATTACTGCTGTATTCATAGTTGTAAATGACTATGGGAGCCTGTTAATATGTGAAACTTACACATTAGTAATCATTTATATGTAGCCTACTTTATGCCTGCGACTTATTCCGCGCAGAAAAAAAATGTATTTAGTAAGTTGTCTGTATACGTCAAACATTCATTCATTTAAACTCTCGCAATTATATTAGTAAGATTTATGGCAAAATTACTAATAATTCAGTATATAAATAATGAAAAATAAACCTCTTTATTTCTTTTTTACTTTAAAAATTGTCTAAAAATATAGCGTTACTCAGCGATAACGTAGCTTTTTAATGGTGAAACCATTATTGAAATCTGTTCCGTAGTTTTTGAGTTATTCCAATACATACAAAAATACTTGCCTCTTTATAATAGTATAGATATGCGGTTTGAATCCTCTTACCAAATGACAAGCGTGGAGATATGAGCGTGTGTGAAATTAATCATAGTGAACCAAATGTCACGGCAATTGGAAACGCTGCGTTCGCAACCGATTCGAATCCTGACGTGGTCGGCACGTTAAACCCTGCTTCCACCACACAATTACACGTTCTCTGTACTCTTAATTTTTTTATATAATATAAGGTGGCAAACGAGCAAGAGGCCATCGAAATGGAAAGCGACTGCTGCCCATAAACATCCGCAATTGCAGATGCGTTTAATTGACAGAGGAGGCGACGCACATAAAGAGGACATTTCCCCTTTAAGAAAAGGGTGAAAAGGTAAAGGGACTAAAATTAGGCCTCCGGCACCAATAGTATTACACCGGGCGAGTCGGCCTATTCGTGCAAAGATGTTAAAGCGGGCTCTACCACTATTGGGATTGCTATATCCTTGTAATAAAACGCCGTAATTATTAAATTTTTATTTCCGTTCTTAATGTAACACAATCAAAAATTGAAGATGACTAGTTCAGGCATAGAGTATACAAAAGGTAATTTGGCAAAGACTAAGTAACATCAACTCCCTAGCGTTTCATACCTAATAGGAAGAAACATAAGGCCTTTATTGACCGACTTCCCAAAAGAAGGAGGTACTTAATTCGTATGTATATATTTTTATAGAGATCTCCTCGAAATAAAGTTTTATTATTATTTTTTTTTATTTTTTTTAAACTAACGTGTATTTTTTTCGACCACATCTATTAGGTGATTACGCTTTAATTTGTATATTAAAGCGATTGCCATTTGTTTCTTAGTAATGATAGTTGGCAGTCACGGTTAGTCGAGTTTGTGGAAAAAGGGTTTAACTTACACGGTTTTAGTGTAACCAATTGTTAAGTCCTATCTATTTTATTATTTCGTATTACATTGCTGAGATATAGGCTGTATTAAGATTGACTTTATTATATTTCTAAGATACTAGCTGTTGCATGCGACTTCATCCGCATAAAACTATAAAAATTTCATTAGTTTGTTCACATTTGTCAATATCAATTGCAAATGTTAAAATGACATGACATGTCAAACCATAGCAACCTTGCTTCCTTGATGTTGGCAACAACTTATGGTCTCTTTCCCACATTAGGGTTTTTATCCAAACTATTTACAGCTAAGTTTAACGGCGTGAAAATAAGGCTTAAAGCGTGACGTAAGTGTAGGGCTTTCTATTAAAAAAAGAGTTATTCGAAAATATGCTGTGATTGCTGACATCTTAGGCAACAAAGAAGTGTCTGTTTATTTTATTAGCTTTATTATATTAGTATAGATAATAGATCGAAATCTTACTTGATATTAGTATTAAAATTAGGTTTATATAATTAATTCTGGTTTTAATAATAATTTATTAAATTAATAATTATTTAATTAAGACAAGATATACTTTTCACCTTTTAAAAGTCGCGGGCAAAAGCTAGTATGTAATAACAGTGTGTTGAAAAATCTTATTGTACGTTACATTGCGTGTTTTATAAGATTGTAAAATGTATTACATGTTACACCATCATTCTATAAGACACAAGTCAATCATCTCAAATGATTCCATTCGCTTATTGAAATTTGCTTACAATACGTATCCTATTAAATTATAATTCATATGTACAATACGATTTCTATTTTAACACATGATAGACTAAAATCGATCTTATTGGATTGGATTAAAGTTCATATTGCTGCTTTTTAGTACATATTGCTGAGTTTTATAGTTTCTTATTATGGTTATATCTATCAAAACATATAAAATTGTATTGTTTGTAATGTCAAAAAATACTTCTTGAAATTGATATCCTTTTGAAAAATTTTGTCTGTCTGTCCGCGAATATTTTTTCCAAGTAATCTATGAAATGGCTGTACTAATTTTGACGAGACCTTTACTAGAAGATAGCTTATATATTAAAGTGTGACTTTTTAAATTTCGCGATGAATTCGCGGGCAAAAGCTAGTATTTCAAGGATCCAATTTCGCTTTGTTCCATAACCTATTACATAATCACCTGCACTAAATATTACGTCTGTCTGTCATTGTTATACAAAGCGAGGTGTTGAATAGTTGTAGCTTCACGCAATCATAATTGCATGTTACTGCTAGTATATACACTTCGATCTTTTTATAAAACGTCTAATGTCAACTACGAGCGGACACTAGTGAAATGACGCAGTAGTTTGCTGGTTTATGTCTAATAGATTGACCGCGACTTTATTTAATTTTGAATTAAAAATAAACAAGTGAAAGACCTATTAAGATGTTTTGCAAATATGTAGAACAAACATCCATCAAAATTTTCGCATTCATAATATAACCGTAGGAATTTTAGTAAAATAATTGATCCATATCGTAGAGATAGAGATGATAGAGGTGTATGGAAGAGCAGCACATACTGTGCCGACCCTCTATAAGGGATAAGGGCAAGTTAATGGTGACATCGTAACTTGTAAGTGAAGAATTCCACTGCCGTAACACTAGTATAAATATAGCTATCTCTTTCATTATTTTAGACTAAACAGAGATAAAATATTACAAGTCTAAATGCAGTTCAATTTTATGGTAATACTTATATGACATATGTTAACTATAATCAAAACCCTGACATATAACTAATTGAATATCCATAAATATATTAAAAAAACGATTCTATAAACACGTTATTAATTTTTCACGCGTTTATTTAATTGAAAATTCAAACAAGAGGTCTCTATATCATAATTCTTGCGACATCAAATATTCAGCTGCGATGTTTATAATCGATCAAAATAACCGTCAGCAATGTTTTAAAATAAATTTGAGCTAAAACCTTAACCTACTTAGAGAACAAATAACATTTAATTTAGTGACATTTGACACCGCATCTTCATTATATTGCAATTTTAATAATCTATACTATTATAATAAAGCGTAAACACACACTTCTTTGTTGCCTAAGATGTCAGCCCTCACAGCATATTTTCGAATAACTCTTTTTTTAATAAAAAAAAAGCCCTACACTTACGTCACGCTTTAGGCTGTATATTTTCACACCATTAAACTAAGGGGGTTAATATTTTGGATAAAAACCCTAATGTGGAAAAGAAACCATAAGTTGTTGCCAACATCAAGGAAGCAAGGTTGCCATGGTTTGACATCGTGTCATGTCATTTTGACGTTTACAATTGATAACTTGACAAATGTGAACGATAAAATGATTTTTTTATAATTCTATGCGGATGAAGTCGCATGGAAACAGCTAGTATTAATTAAAATCCAATAAATATGGAATTAAACATCTCTTACCACTGTATTTTATAAAAACTCTTGCAAATTTTATATTTTTCTAGGCAAATTGATGAATGCCTTATTACATTGACTGCAACATAACATTTAGTCGCGGCACAATTATTCGTATTACTATTGTCTTTATTCAGGAGAAAGGGCGCGTTGCAACAGGGAAAGTCGAGTGTACTAATTTAGACTTGAAGGTAAAAGTGTTTTACTTTGTACCATAAAGACTATAATGGCAACACGAACGTCAATAGAAATTCTGAAAGCGTGACATTAAAAAACAAAAGTTTGCGCATACATACTTTTATGGCTTAGTACCTACTATTATATGACCATTTATTACCCATAAAAATCTTTTAAAAAAATTATTTTGAAAAGGTAAAATGCAAAATTTGCGTTTGTTTTTGAAACCTCATTATTCATTACAAAGCTAGGCTTTTGAAAAATAGCTTTTTTGATTTTCCCCTTACTGGTATATCTAGGGCGGTCGCACTGTCTACGGATCACCAGACACGATGGATTCAAAAATATGTTTTATTTTTATTATAAATAAAAAAAAAATTGCAATTAAATCAAACAATAAGATCATATAGCTTTAAATCTTCTTTTAAGACGTTTAAAAAAGTTACAGTAATATGTAATTTATGTCATTCTCAATTACGTCTAGTCACATTTAGTATTAATTATCTGTGGTCTACGATAAAGGTCACACAAGCATGTCATTGACCGGTAGAATTAATTGATTCCGACAAAAAAATACCTTATCGGAATTTTAATTGACGCACATGTGATCCGTAAAGTTTTTTTTT